AATCAATTTCTCACCCGCACGGGCTTAGTTCAATGGTTTAGTGAGCGGTATTTGGGACAAGAGACCAAGGTTCGAACCTCGGCTGCGGCAGTGTGGAAATTATGTCCAAAGAGAGCAGATTCCTTGTACGCACTGAGAATAATATATCAAAAATTATGTCCAAAGTGAACAGATTCCTTGTACGCACTGAGAATAATATATCAAATTAATCATGCTCTGCCGCGCCGGAGTGTGAGAATAATATATCAAATTAATCAACTCACTTTAGGGAACATGAATCCACTTTGACCAACTTAAATCAAAAGTCAATCACACTCAAAATAAAATGTAAAATGACCACTTTAAATGCTATTTTAAACTAATTAATTTTTCCAACAATTCCTAGGTAGCACTATCTTGCTAATCTCCCTGTGACTTCAAATGTTAATTTATACTTCTGTTTGTTCTGGTCGCTTGAGCTTGGGAATTATCTATTAATTTAAATCTTAGAAAGCTTGTCAAAATTGTGGTTCTAAAATCATATTATTGCACTAATTGTATCATAAAAATCCAATAACACTTTATTCATTCCTAATAGTAATTAAAGTAAATCTATTTATGTTAGAAAAATTACTTAAAATGACATTTAAGTAATCGTTTTGTATTGGTTGGGTAGCTAAGATGATTAATTTGATATATTATATGTTTAAAATGGATAATAGGAGAATGATGCATTTAAAAAATTAATTTGCATTTTCCTAGTTGAGAAGCCACCCATTGAAATCTTACCCAGTATAAAAACATAATTAAATGTGTGGAATACTAGCATACTTTGATTGATAAAACTTGTGAAACAAACACTAATAATAATAAATAAATAAATAAATAAACCTTGGTCAACACAAAATCAATGGTCAAAGGAGAAAGCACAGTGGTTCGGTGAAGGGTAATGAGCGCCGAAAGGTATAAAGAAACCTCTCATCATTCACGGGAGATACAAGACAATCGACACTTTATGATGCATTAATGTTTTACTTAAAATTTATGAACAATTTTTTACTATAATTTTTTTTTTTTTTGTTAAAAGGAGAAAATTAAAACAGGGATCGATTTTGTTTGGTAAAACAGTTAGTTTATGGATTAATTTTGACTTATTTAGCTATTATTACTTGTTCGACTTAGTTTAAAAATTAATATAAGTGTTTGATTAATTAAATTTTTGTAGTCCAAAATGCTAAAATTCAAAAAACTACTCAAAGCAACTTTTTCAATTAGTTTTTTTAGAACAAATATTATATCAAACAGCTATCAGCTAACAACTAATTTACTAAACATATTTCTACAATCAGCTAATGTTATCAACTAGTTATGCACTCTGATTAACTCAATCAGCTAACAGCTATCAGCTATTAGTTAACAGTCATTTACCAAACAGGACCAGTATCTTCTAAATTGTCTTCACGAACTCCACTCTAAGTCTATTTTCTTTTCAGATAAGGTAAAACCGTACCAAATCTTGAAATCAAAACTTTTCTTTAAATCTTGTATGTATACTATTTATTAGTCAAATAAAATTTTCATTTTTTATTTTTTTAACAGTTTTATAAATTTTGTAAATTTGATATTTTTTATTTAGTAAAACATTTAATATAATTTTTAAATATTGAAACTTTATTCAGTAATATGAAATTTCATCTTTTTATGGGCAAAATTGAATATCAATTACAAAATGATTTTGTTATAAAATATTAATTATTTTAATGATTACAATGATTATTATTTATATTAAATAAAATTTAAAATAGTAATAAAGATTAATAATAAATATAATAAAAGATGTAAGTAAATATTTTTTAACTTGTAAATTATTATAATAAAAGGGAATACCTAAATTGAGAAATGTAATAATTCTGAACTAATGAAATTGCAGAATTTTAAATATTTTTTTTATATGGTTTGTCCATACCAGACTCATATTTAATTAAGAATTGATAAATGTAATAAGTCTGAACTAAAAAATTGACAAATTATTGTATGGACCATGAATACAAAGTACATTTTTAAAAATAATGTACTTTTAGTATTCAAATAATGTACTTTATGTACATAAATCATACACTTTTAATATATTAAAAATGTGCTTTTTATTTATGGTTCACACAGTTGTATAGACCATGGTCCATATAATAATGTTTGAGAAAAATTGAAGAACAAAAATTAGTTTATTTTTTTGTTGCGGATTGGACAAGATTTCTATTATTTGATTTCGCATAACCCAATCTATATTTTAATCGTTCATAAATAAATGTAATAGGTCGCCAAGACCTTGTGGTCTAATGGCATCTACGTTGGACTCCTATATGAGAGGTTGTGAGTTTAAGCCTCAGTGGAGGCTTTATTGGTTCTTTGTGCTTCAGTAGGTTAGAAAGTAGTTCAATCCGAAATAAATAATGAGAAAGTAGTTATGAACAGATACTACATTATAAGAGAGAGAGAGAACGTAACTGAGCTGAGATAAGAATCTGAAAAATGTGTTCCAAACAAATAATAATAAAAGTCAGAAGATTTTTTATTTTTTATTTTTGGGTCAAAATGTGTCATTTTTCCTTTGACTGAAATGAGTATTTTCCTTTGACTCAATTTTTGTTGATAGTCAAACATTGAAACTAAAAGTTCAAAAAATGACTTACATAAATTATTTTCCGATTTCCAAACCGCCATAGTCAAATCATTTTTTTTTAATGGTAGGAAGCATTCCCAGCAGTTAAAAAAAAATTGTGAAAAATGGGGAGGAGACTAACATGATCCAATAAAATTTAAGGAAAATTTCCAACAACACTTAATTACACCCCGCTTGATTTTTATTTTTATTTTTTTTATAATTATTCTCGCTCAAACAATGTTTTGAAACTATAAATTCTCATGTTTGGTTGTTAGAAGTAGTTTTTCTTTGAAATTTTAATTTTTAAAATATGAAATATTTTTTGAGTAAATTAGGTAGTTTGCTTTAATTACTTATATTATGAAACTCTTGGAAAGTTTGAATTTTTCGATCAACGACCAACTAATGAAATTTGAAATATTTATTTATTAATTTCCAATGAAATTTAAATTCTATTCTTTGTATAGTTCTTCCACGAATCAAAACAGGTTGTTATGGTTTAAACAATATGAATTTGGTATTACATTAAATTATGGGATATAGAAATATTTTAAAGAAATTTAAAACGTTCTTGTTGTTAATAGTTGGGTTACATGAATTAGCGACCAATGGAGCTTTAAAACAAAAATAATAATAATAAACTCGGCATTTTAATTTGCAATATTATATTTGTTTCTTTCTGGAAAAAAAAAATAGTGGTGGCATGACTAAAACTAAATTAAATTATTAGCTATTAGTTATATATTTCAAAATGTTACACTTTGTTTTGTAAAACGTTCTGCTAATGGTGTGACTCATCTATTAGTTAAGGATGCTAGTTTATTGCTAGGAAGTCAATTTTGGTTTGATACTGATTCATCTTTTATTTTGCAAGTTTTATGTAATGACTTGGAGAATATATAGTATTTGTGTGGCTTTAGTTTAAAAAAAAAAAAGCTATTAGTTATATATATGACAATAAATATTGTCAAATTAAATTAGTTGCAGAGTATGTAACGTGACATGCAACGTGTAGGTCCATGCTCATGTAGCATCATTCCAGCATTAAATAAAGAAGAAGAGTCATCTTGATTGGTGTGAATGGCCGTGCACTTTTATTCTTTAAGGGAGCGTTTGGTTCAGGTCATCTTATATTACCTAGGTAATCTGAGTCTGGTAATGTTATATTACCTTGTTTGGTTCAAGTTATAAGATTACCTGGTAACGTTATATTACCTTAAAGCTGATGTGGCGGTAATGTTTCAAGGTAATGTGATTACCCCCATTTTTTTTAGGTAATCTTAGATTACCTTGAATTATAAAATATAACCTTGAACCAAACAAGGTAATATTATATTACACCATCCAAACCAAACACACAAGATAATCTTACATTCCCAACATCTCACATTACCTTGTTGGAGGTAATCCTATTATCTGCGGTAATTCAAGATTCCATGAACCAAACGTCCCCTAAGAGATATTGACTTTTTGAATTATAATACCTAGCTAGAGAAAGTATAGAACATATACTACCTTGTAATAAAGTCAATAGTATTCAAAAAATAATAATAATAAAAAAATAGTGCGGTGGAATTAAAGTTGAAACTTATGGCATAATCATCGTGTGTTTGAGTTAAATAGATAAAAGTCACTCTTTTCATTGTGTGAGATTGTCTTATTACTCCCTCCACCTCATTTTGTCTGTCCTACTATTATTTATTGGTCAAACAAACTCTTTCTTCTTTGTTTATTTTCTTTAGTATTTTAAAATTTTAATTTTTTGTATTTAATAGTACTTTTAGGATAATTTGTAAATATATAAATTTTGTATACTAACACTAAACTTAATATTATGAAAAAATTGGATTAAAAATAATTTCAGTTAAGCCTCGTTAACTAAACCAGAAACATTAAATGGAACGAAGGGGTTACTTATATTATAAAAAAAAAATGTAATACTGTTGAGGAAAAAATATAATACTTTTAATCAAAATGTAAAAGTATTACATTTTTCGTCAAGAAGTATTATATTTTCTCATATATATAAAGTAATAAACACTTTATTCATGATTAGTATTATATTTTCTAGTATATTACATTTTTATTTTAAACCTATCCATCTCATGGGCACTAGCTCTCACACAAGTTTTTACCCACAAAAAAAAAAAAAAAAAAAAAAAAAAGAAAAAAAAAAAAGAGTAAAACAGAAATAGTTCCTTTGACTCATGAATAGTAAATAAGACAACTAACGATCGATTATAAATATAATGTATGCTTATAGTTGTTGACTGGTAGGTAACCATTAAGAGAGAATATAACGCATGTGAAATTGATAGGAGAACTAAAAATAGAATAAACTCATATGCTAACTATTGAATTCGAATTGAACACCAAGAAAAGAGGGATGTATAGATGAGCCTTATTGGAACCAAACATGCTGAAAAGGGCTCCATTATACATATGTTTGAAACAGAAATAAAAAGGTGGAAAATTTTACAAAGTGGCTTTCTTTCTCCGAATATACCCTACATAATCATGTCAGTAAAGCAAAGCAGAAAGCAAAAACCCAGAAAAGAAGAACAGTAAAAAGTGCGAAGTTAGTAGTGAATTTGTGTAGCAAACGCAGCTGCCATCTTGTTGCCGTGAAATGATTTCGATGACTCCCTTTTCTCGCCATGCAAAACCCTTCTTTTTGACCAACCCACTTCCTAAAACCCAAAACCCATCATTACTAAACCCTCGAGATCATTCCATGCTGAAAATTGGGGTCTGAAACGCCGCCGATAGATCGTTCTTCAGAGACGACGGAATATTGCCCCAACCGCCGCCGGCGGTAGGAGCCGCCGACGAGGATAGGCTGCCGCCGGTGTTGCTGTGCTGCTGGTGAAAATTCATGGCGGTGAAGTTGTGGTTGTTGGCTTGGTTGATGTGGGAACTCGAGGGGATTTCCATGCCGAAAAGGGGTGTACTCTGCGCTTGGATATATGTACCCTGAGCTTGTATACTTGTACTGCTTGGGGGGCCCGGGAAATTAACACTCGGGCTGGGACAAGGGTTTTTGGTATTATTATTGTTGTGGCACCCTAACATGGACCAAAAGTCATTGGAGTCATTCTTGATCGGCAATGCGAAGGCAGGGGCCGGAGGAGGTGGTAGCGGTGGCGGTAGGGGCGTAAATGAGACCGACGAGGAAGCCGAGGTCTGGTCCCGGTCGTCGGATTCCGATGAGGTTTTGGGCTTGTTACTCACCCCGCCGATCGGGAGATTACTATTGCCAATGGTTTTCACGTCGTAGCGGCTAATGTCGAAATTGGTCACGGCGTTTAGACCTCTGAATTTTATCGCGGCTATATCATAGGCCTCCGCAGCTTCTTCTTGGGTGCCTATTCAACAACATATATAGTCACCATTAGCTCAGATATGTTAGGATCAAACGCTTACCAGTTACCACTACACAAAAAGTTATAGATACAGCGAATGTACAACTATATATTATTTCTTTATACCGCTACACATTTTCGAGACTCTAGGTGCTGTGAACTTGATTTCTTTTTCCTTTATCAACCTCTACCAAACAATCCCCAGCCACCTAATGCTAGACTTTGACATTTACTGGCCTCTCCCAAGAGAATAGAATACATCTAATGGACCCAAATATTTTTTAAACTAACAATAGGTTTTCTCATTTATACCCGGGATAATGGTCCCAAATAGGGTTCGATTGAAAACCCGAAAAAATAACTTCTGAAAAATGTTTTTAGAAATGCAATAGGAAAAGCCAGAACGAAAAATATTTTCCGTTAACTGGGAAAATGAAGCCATTTTGGTAGAAAATGACTTCCGTCAAAATTTGGGGGAAGTCATTTTCCGCCAAAATGTTTAAACATACAATTCTATTTAATTTTCTAGAAAATAAACTAAACATACCATGTTTTACAAAATGCAACCAAACACAAAGAAATCAAAATATTTTTTGAAAAATGACTCATTTTCCAGAAAATATTTCCCATAATTGCTTTTCAAACGGAACCTAAAGTTTAAATGCAGAAAATAAATACTACGTATAAATAAGGGGGGAAAAAAAAAGGAAGCAAAAAAGAAAATAAATTTGTACAATTTTAGACAGTGTCAGTGTGTCACCACTCAAAAGACCATTTAGAGAGAGCCACGTGAAGAACATGTAGCATATTAGGATAAGAATTTTCCTTTATATATGTATATATATAATAGAATTGAAGGTAGGTGGATTATATCCCACAGGTTCTAGGGCATCCCCCGCCAAAGGCAACAAATAGTAGAAAGGCAGTAGTGTGGAAAGACGTGCATCTTTTTTTTTTTTCTTCTCATTTTTTAATTTTATTTTTTAGTTTATTGTTTTCTAGTTCCTGCCACTTTCTGTCTTCCCACCTCAATTATGCATGAACCACATGAATAATTACATTGAATTACAACTCTTTTTTAAATAATAATAATAATAATTGTGATATATATTTCCTAAAAATATATTCTTCAAATTTTTTCTGATTTGAAATTTTGTAGGGTAGCAATATTTAAACAAATTAAAAACGCATTTACATTAGAAACATACCTCAGATCAGCTTACTCTTTTATTTGCTTTAATAATATTTAAATAGATTTTATTATATTTTAGTGAGTTTAAAACCCTAAAATGAGGTAGCAATGACTTACTGAAGGTTCCAAGGTATAGATCTTTGTTTCCAGCAACTCTTCCAATTCTTGCTTGCCATCGACCATGCTGATGATGCCTGATTCAATCAGTTTTTAACATATTTTTATGTTAAATCAAATTATCATAATACAAAATTTAATGCCATTTCTTAGGCTCGATCTGATACTAAATTAAATCAAAAAACATGTTTCGAACTCAATTAAAAATTTAAACTAATGGTTCAATTGCATATTTGTGTTTTATATATTATATGTTCAATAAAGCATATATATATATATATATATATATATATATATATATATATATATATATATATATATATATATATATATAACTTCAAATGGGAAAAAATAGAGCAAATTAAAAGAGGGACCTTGTGACTCCTCTATAAATGGAAGCTCCTCTAGAAAACCCACTGCTTCTCCTGCATAATTAGAATAGTTTTTTTAGCATCTGATCTTTATTAAATATAATAATGTAATATTAATTCTCTACTAATTCTAACCTTCTTAGTGAGGCAACAAACTCCTGCCTTGTCATGTGCTTCATTTCCTCTAATTCCTTCTTATAGTTTGATACCTTCAAACCCCCAAAAATATTAGAATAATTAATTTGCAATTGTTTCAGTGTGAATAATAATAATTCTTTTTTAAAAAATTTATTGTAGAAATTAAATAATACCGGAAAGTTTGTGGTGGTGGTTGGTCCCCAATACTTAAGCGCTGCAAGATCATAAGCCCTAGCAGCTTTCTCTTCTTTATCATATCCACCTGCAGTTTTATTTTATTTTTTAAAAATATTATAAAAATGTAATAAAAATAATTTTGCACTTTAAAGTTCACAAATTATAACCCAATTTTTTTTAAGTCAGAAAATGAGAATCCAAAGAATGAAGAATCTAATAAGCTATGATAGAATGAGCACATATTCACCGCAAAATGCAAAGAGACATAAACTAATATTTTAAAATAGAAACATATACAAATTAGATCTTGATTTTTTTTTTTTTATGTACTGAAAAAAATATATTAATTACAAAAAAAAAAAAAATACTTACCCAGATAAACTGAAAATTGGGATGATTAAATGATTGAAAATAATCGTTCAACGCCGTAATCATTCGCCACACGTACATGCCATACAAAGAATCTATATTAGCCCCATATCATAATTTTCTCATTATTATTCACTTCTAATAATAAGTATGATCAGTAAAAAAAAAAAAAAAAAAGAATGGAATATCATAATTAAACGCGCATCTTAGCATGTGGAAGTGTTAAACCCCTTAAAATACGCACCTTGCCTTCCCTTTCGACTCTGCCCTTCCCTCCTGCAACTATTATCCCACAGATGCGCTTCATACCTCCCTGTCCACCTATGCCTAAAATTCAAATAACATTAAAATTCAAGGACTTCTTTGCAAAATCCGCATATATAACTCATGAAATTAATAATAATAATAATAATAATAATAATAATAATAATAATAATTGTATGAGAGCTAAGTTAAGTGTGGTTAATTATGGAATTAATAATAATAACCTGGTTACGCCTCTGTAAATAGATGTGCGTTGGCCAAAAGTCTCCGCCGCCTTCTTGGCCGGCGGATCAGGCGGTGGCGCCGCCACAGCCTGCTGCTGCTGCTTCTGGGTATCATTTTGGTCGGCCGTAAAACCCCGGAGGAAACTTGCCGCTATGCTCTTGAGCTCCGAATCATACAACTCCGGCTCAGAAACAGCTGCGGGGGCCGCCGCCGATTCTCCGGCGATTAAGCACACGCCGCCGGCCGACGATCCCACAGATCCACCCAAGAAATCCTCAAGCTTCGGCCCACCTCCCGCGAGGACCCCGCCTCCATTTTCCTCGCCTCTCACCACTGCACCTAAAAAATATCATTTTATATATATATTACTGCATGTATGTATCTATATATATAGAAAGAGAGAGAGAGGGAGAGAGAGAGATACTGGTGGAGTTGGAGTTGAAGGAGTGGAAGAAGGAGAGCGGAGAGGGATTGGGAGGAGTGGGTTGCGTTTGGGGGTTGGAAAGAGAGAAGGCAAGCCAGTTTTGAGCAGAAGAGGAAGAAGAATCCATATTATCCATTATCGTTACTACTACGTTGGTGAGCGTGAAAGATAGATGACTGCACTTTCTTTCTTGCTTTGGAATTCTGATCTTTTTTGTTTTTATGAAAATTTGTTTATAGGGTTTAGAGCTTTTTTTTTTTTAGAATTGAATGAGGAAACTCTCTGGGAATGAAGCTCCTAAGTATGTAACATTGCAAATGATGGTGAAGGGAATGGACGACACAGATATAGAGGTGAGAGAGACATGCACTGTAAGTCTATAACATAAAATAAAAATAAAAACAATTTTCTTTTTTTTTGGTGGAACTAGTATAATAATTACATATGGAGTTTGTCTTTTCTTTTTTCTTTGGAAAAATTCTTTGCTTAAATTCAAGCCAAAATATCAATTTTAGTTTGTCTACTTATATACTCCCTCTGTCCCATTTTGCATGTCTTACTTTCCTTTTTAGTTTGTCCCAAAATGTTGTCCTCTTTTCAAAATTGAACATCACCACCATTCTATTTTTTCCCAAATTACCCTTAAGACTTTTGCTTTTATTTCCAAAAGTGAAAAAGTGAAGGGCATAATTGGAAAATACATAACATTTACTTTAATTCCTTAAAAAGCGTGCAAAAAGCAAATAAGACAACCAATTCGGGACGGAGGGAGTAATTTCTTTCTCTTTATTTATTTTTTTACTTTTTAAAAGTGATATATATATATATATATATATATATATATATATATATATATATATATATATATATATATATATAGAGGGAGAGAGAGAGGATGGCGTTCAGGTGCGAACTGCTCACCTAGGAAAGAAATGAGAACGCATGTCATCTGTCCACGTGGCTAGATCTAAGGGATATGATGAGAAATACTGATTTTTTAAAAATGCGGTGTTATTTTCGTAAATAATTGAACATCGAAGTGCAAGTAAAATGTATTACAAGTGCAAGTAGGAGTTTCATATAGTGCATCTCAGTGCAAGTAAAATGTATTACAGGTGCATGTAAAATGTATTACTAAAATTTGCACTGAGCATCAATACTAAGTGCACTAAACGTTATAATTAGTTGCACCTAGGTGCACGAATGTTAACAAGGTAAATTACTTGCACTTGTAAGTGAAAATAGATGCACTTTGTAAGTGATTTTACATGCAAAGGTGCACCAGCTACTTGCACTTATAACACATTTACTTGCACCAAATTAGTTCGAGTTATTTACAAAAATACCACCGCGTCATTTTTTAAAAATTATATCTGATTCGTTGATCTCGACACAGCGACGGAGCTAGAAAATTATTTGAGTGGGGGCAAAGTTCAAACGACGTTAGAAAAGTCAATTACAAAATATCCAAAAAGTATAATAAGGTTAAAATACAAAATACATCATAAATTACAATATAATGTTTTTGATAGATCACACTATAGTTAGAGTCAAAATAAAAAACATACTTGAGTGAGGTGAAAATGTGAAAATATTTATGACAAAATATGAAACATAATCAATTAGATAAAATAATTTGAATAACACTATATTCATAAATACTTTTAAATTTTAATTTTTTTTAGTTACATCAACTTTAAGTTTTTCTAAATAAATTCGAATACAATGATGTATAATATAAACTTGTATACTACATTAATTAAATGATTCATAAAATGTTGACTAAAATTAAAAGAGCATTTAATTTGTTAATTAAATGATTCATAAAAGTAGACTAAAAACTATTTAATTTATCTTCACAAAGAATGAAAGAGATAAAATAACTGAAGATAAGAAAAGTGTTATTAATGAGATTTAAACATGTAACCATACACTTTTTAACCTCAAATTTAGAGTTTAACCAACTAAACTACTCAAACTATTAATAATTTAAATATAAATATAAATCTTATATAACATTTAATGCTATATATATATATATATATATATATATATATATATATATATATATATATATATATATATATAAAGGGGTGGATGGGGCATCTGCCCCACTGTTCTCATACTAGCTTCGTCCTTGTCTGAACACATGGACGACTGTGAGTGATCATTATTTCTCTCATGTGTGACCCGTTCGCATTAGAGCGTGCCCATATATATATATATATATATATATATATATATATATATATATATATATATATATATATATATATATATATATATATATATATATATATATATATATATCACGTGCAAAAATATTGTGGATAAATATTATTAATGGCTCTTTTTAAAAAATTCTATAAAAACGGACACTTAAAGGAACACAAATGTGCAATCGTTATACCCTACACCACGGCGCACGTAGCACTGTGTGTCGCACGCTTCCCAAAACGACGTCGTTTTGGGAGGCGCGGTAGGAAGTTGCTGTGATTATATATATTTGTTCATACAATTATGTATATTTGTTCATACAATTATGTACATTTTTTATACAATTATGTACATTTTTTTTATCAATGTTGCAAAAATCGCGCCTAGGCGCCATTGCGCTGCCGCGAGGAACGGCCTCCGCGGCCGGCCGGCTAGGCGGTTCGGCAGTTTATTTTTATTTATTTTTTATTTTTTTTTTGAAAATGTCGGAAAAGTTTCGGAAGGCATAACTTTTGACTCGGTTGTCCGATTTGGACAATTTTTTTTTTCAAATCGCGTATTTTTTCGAGATCTATCCACCGCAAACCGCCTTTGGTCCACTAATTTCTCAAAAAAATGCTTCTTTAGCTCTTAATTTTAGTTTTTTATATGTTTATATGGTTTAAACAATCTTTTGAACACTTTTACAACCACTTTCGTAAATAATTTCTAAGAAATAACTATAGAAACCTTATATTTTATTACTAAATTTTAAAAATTTTAAATTTTAAATTTTATTTTTAATTAAAAAAAATAAAAATAAAATAAAAATAAAAAATAAAAAATCGGCGCCCTAGGCGTTAGGCGCCCCCTTGGCGCCTAGGGGGCGCCTAGCGTGTTTTGCAACATTGCTTTTTATACAATTATGTACATCCGAATCAGGAAATTTTTGTGTATTATGTTAAGAGTTGATGTGTATTATGTTAAAAGTTTATGTTTATTATGTATTATGTTAGATTATGTGTATTATCTTTTAAAAAAGAGTATGTATATTTTGTTATGTAATTATGTACATTTATGTATACAATTATGTGTATTCTAGTATAACATTATGTACATTTTTGAACATGGGTTTTTTTTTTTAAAAGAAAAATTAACTGCCAAACACTGGGGCGGGAAATTTCAAAAAAATAATAAAAATTGAAACGACGTCGTTTTGCATCTGGGCGCACAATGCAACGCGCACCGTGGTGCAGGATATAAATTGCCACAAATGTGCACTCGAAGGTCAAATTATGCATTTAAAGGCACAAAGATATGCACTTGAAAATCAACATTGTGCACTGATCTAGAAATGTGTACTCTAAGGCCCGAAAATGTGCATTCGAAGACACACAATTGTGCACTTTAAAATCACAATTATGCACTTGAATGCGTAAAAATGTACAATCGAAACAATTTATGATACCAAAAAGAGAAGTTATTGAACTTAAATGTTATTGAAGCAATTATCCTTACAAATTGTTATTGGATCTCACAAATTTCATCAGAAAAATTTAGTTATACGTTGTTGAAAATAATGCAAAAGATATAATAAATACTGACCCAAAAATGTGCACTCAAAGGCACAAAAATGTGCACTTGAAGGCCAAAATTTTGCAGTCAAAGGCACAAAGATATGCAACTGAAGCAATTTATAGTAGTACCAAATGCATGGGGAAGTTATTCAAATTAAGTGTTATTGAAACAATTACCCTGTGGACAAATCTAAACTCAGGACAAATCTAAACCATCAATCTGCAAGATCTAACAGATATAGGAAATTAAGTAAAAAATAAACGGGGTCATTTTTATAAATATTATAAACTTTTGAACTTTGTAATATTCCTAAAAAAGGAATCCATCTTTTTTGTCATTTTTTCTTTATTTTCAACCGTTAGATCTAATAGATTGATAATTGGGATTTGTCCACAAGTCTTCACCGGGCATGGTTCTCATAGGAGCTAGACCTTATATATATCTTTGGATTCATATGTGCACATCTGTGCTACTGCGTGTGCACTTAAGTATTGTGCCAGGTTTTAATTGTGTGTAATCATCTGTGTGTGTATATGCACACATCCATTAGATATGACATACATTCGTCTTTGTTATGTAGAAAAATAAGTTTAATTGTGTGCGAAAGTGGTTATAAATGGATTAACATATTTTGTGATGTAAGAAAATAGGCTTATTTTGTTGACTTGCCTATTTTGATGGAAATTAAGAATTTTGTTTGGATAGATTTATCCTAAATTGATATTATAGGTCGGGGATTCGGATTGTTGATTAGATACATAAATTTAGGATGTTGACTTTTAGTCATAGCCTTGGATCTCTTGAAGAAAGAAACATGGGCACTTGAAGAAGAAAAAATGTGCACTCAAATACAAAAGACAAGCTGGTTTACTTACTCAAAATTATAAATATGTCACCGTACATTTTTTTAATTAATTTTTCATCTAGGCTGTTGATTTAGACTACATCTACGATTAGTAATTGTGCATATTTTTTACCTGAAGAATCCTTTCGCATTTGATCTCAAATATATATGTGTGCACCCCTATATAAATGATGTTGATGTTTAAAGTTTTAAAATTAGAGAAAAGTAAAATATATAATTATTATGATTTTTGCATTATACTAATGACAAACTTAAGTATTATTGCATTCATTTAAAAAATTTGTTGTATAAATGATGTCAACAAATTTTTAAAATACGATAAATTATAAAAATTTGGAAATCTAAAATAATAGAAATTATTTAAATATTACAAGTCCAAAAAAAATTAATTTACATTAATAACGTAATTAAAGAAAAGTTAACATAAATAACTTGAGAAACTTGTTATTTGGTCCAAATGCACGTCTTTAACTTATTGAGGGGTAAATTGCACCTTTTTTTTTTTTTAATTTATGGAATAAGGGTCAAATTAGCCCGTGAATGTAACACGAAAGTGCAATCAGACCACCGAACTAAAAAAAATATGCAATTACCCCACTCAACGCTCCAAATGCCTTCAATTTCACCGGATAGCCGGTTTTCACCCATTCTTCTCGGTTGATTGCTGACCTGGATGT